CTGGCTCAAAATCGTTCTCAATGACGGCGTAGATGCATTCACTCGTGACTTATAATTTCTTCGATATTACTATTCTTTTTGCCTCGTATCTCTGTTTACTATCTCTATTTTTTGTATTCCCTTTTGCTTTCTTCTATTTTTTTGTGTGCTACATGGAGGGAGTGTGAAGACTTGAACTGCCGCACATTGGTGCAAAGTTGTATGTCGAAAACAGACAGACAGACTGAAGTCATCAGTTAGGATTAAGTTTACTAGTACATCTGTGATGAAATTAAATAGAAATGGGAACAGTGGGCATCCCTCGCTGACAGACACCACTGGTTGTTATCACTTTTCATCATCGATGAAAAGCGCGTGATATGTTTGTTATAACCAATAGGTTATAAGCCACACTTGTAAAAGATTTGTCTGCTCAAATCTTGGATGATAGAATAAGATTCTAGCCAGTTGCAATGGTTCCCACAAACTGGAAGATATCCAAGTGAAAAGCAACAAGTTGGCAGAACAAGCACCCAGAGAAGATAGAACTTCAGGTGAACATAGAGAAAACAGAGGTGATGAAGATTTCTGGCCAATACCAACAGCAAAACAACAACATACGACAATCAGCATAAATGGGAGGAAGCTGAAAGAAGCAACCTCCTTCACCTACCTGTGAAGCATCTTTTCAACTGCAGGCGGAACTGACGAGGATATCAAGGTCAGAATCGGAAAAGCAAGACAAGCTTTCATTACTCTCAAGTCTGTGTGGAGGTGAACAGCACTCATCATCAAAAATAAGATCTGGATTTTCAACTCCAGTGTGAAGTCAGTGCTACTCTACACGGATCAGAGACTTGGCCAGCGTGTCATAAAGAGCACCTCACGCAAACTAAAAACCTTCATTAACAGTTATCTTCGCTCAATACTCAAGATCAGATGGCCATCCAGAAAAGATCAGCAACAGGGATCTCTGGGAGAGAACCAACCCGTCAGGAACCGATTGTGCAACAAATATGCAGGAAGAAATGGAGATGGATTGGTCATACTCTGAGGAAAAAAGCCATCGAGTGACATCACTAGACAAGCCATTGCTCGAGTGGAACCCGAAAGGGAAGCGGCGAGTCGGTCGTCAGTGCGAGGGTGGGGTGACTTTGAGGAGGTCATGTGAAGAGAAGATGAAAGCGTGTGTGCACAATTGGAGTGGGGTAAAAACTCTAGCAGAGAACCAAACGCAATGGAGACGTTTGGCTGAAGGCCTATGTTCCTCTAGGAATTAAAGGAAATAATAATAGTAATAATAAGTTGCAATGGTGGCAATGTATATTATTAACAAGCTATAAATCTAACGTTTGTATATTTAACTCATCACAGTTATTATTGTGCTATATTATCCTGATTGCATGAAATGTAATATCGTTAAGTGTGAGTTGAATTAGTAAGCATTAACCGACATAGAAATATCTGACTAAGAAATATAATTCTAGGTCAAGTGATAAAAGTCAGACTTTTTTTTGAAAATGATTAGTGTATAATCCAAAAATATGATTAACTGGTAATACTCATTTATGTAGTATTTATCTATTTCACTCCAAAGAGGATTACACATAAATACTTTTGATATGTACACAGTTGACCCCTAATATCATCATTTAGTATTGGTTGTAGTCTCTCTCTCTCTCTCTCCTTTGAGCGTTCACATCCGATAGGTAATATGATAAGAGATATTTAGATTCGCCCGTCCATTTCAAGTTGTGTTTGTTCCTTTTGCATACAAATGAAATCTTATCAATGAGTACTGTGGTGCTTTCAACATAGAACTTTCACCGATATGCAGCAGTTCAAGTCTTCACACTCCCTCCATGTAGCATACAAAGCAAGAAAAGAAAGTAAAAGGGAATGCAAAATAGAGATAGTAAACAGAGATACTAGGCAAAAAGAACAGTGATATCGAAGAAATTATAAGTCACAAGGAGTGGATGCATCTGCACCGGCCATTGAGAACGATTTTGAGCCAGCCATTTCACCGATTGTTTCAAGCCATTGATGTTTACCGTCCCGAGGACGCCAACCAGGAAGTCTACACCTACCTACATGGCTTAGACTAACTGTTGTGGATTTCATTGACTGGTGCCGCCATGTTTTGGTTTCACCGTCACTAGCTCTTTTCCAACCTGACCCTATGTCCGCTAACATTGCTTATCGAGGAAGGCGATGGATACGTAACACATGTCCTAACCATCTCAATCTATATATCTTCACAGCCTCGTTGATTGACTTCTCCTCCTTCCGTAGCACTCGACGGATGCCTAACCTCAATATTGCTCACCTTTTTATACCACTTCACACGGAGTGTGGATAGAACGCAGGCACCTATGATCAAAGACAGCTAGCTAGTCTTTTCATGTCTTCCACTCTCAATGGCCAAATCTCACAGCCAGCCATAAAGGAGCACAGAGCGAACTGATGAGCAGTACACACACCCTTTAGTCGATAGCCAGTCTACTTAGTCAGAGACGGCATAAACTTGCGCATGAGAAACTAGCCCTCTGCATCCATGCTGAGATTTCGTCAGTTCCCTGATATTTAGTGCTAGAAAAATCGGTGCAACCAATACTTTGGATGATGAAATAGGGAAAATAGAAAAATCATTATGCTAGAGCTTATATGCAGAAAGAAATCGTTAAAGTCTCCGTGATGAGAACAGATCAAGATAAAGAAATGCCTGCAAACGGTGCATATATATATATATATATATATATATATATATATATATATATATATATATATATATAATTCCTTTACGTCCGCAGTGGAACATAAGGCTTCCAGCTGAAGGCTTGGAGTTTCGGTAGCAGTGGTATTTATTTTTATAGGATAGGGTTGCTGGTCTCATTCCCAACCTTCCCTTATTGAAGTTCATTCAAAATCCCTACAAAAAGAAATCCATTTTCTAGATATCAATGTACTCAAAGCTGTACTGCAAAGTCGTAACCGATGGAATATTTATCGAAGTCATTGGTTGAGGATAGTGCTATGTCATCAATTGATAGAAGTTAGAATTCATGGGTCATTAAATTCTGGTCTCATGGCCTAAAGGTCCCGGTCTCGATCCCTGGTGGAGTTATGGATGTAAACTTCTGAAGAGCCTCGAATTAAGACGAAGCATGCATCTAGTGGTGTCAGCAATGATCGAAACATACTGAGTCGCTTGGACAGGCCAGGTTAGATAGATGCAAATGACAAATATGCCCACAGAAGACTCTTAAATTCTTCGAATCTCCATGACTGTTCTTTTAGCGTCATCTAGTAAGACGAAGTGCTTCGCTTGAAGAGTTAACTAAACAGATGCTTTTGTTACTAAGATATTCAATACAGTCATCCTATTACACAACACAAATTTTTTTTGATGACTAGGGGGTCTTTGAGTTTTCACTAAACACTATATCATATTGATTCTTTCAAAATAATTATGGTGTTGAGATTAGAATAGTGTTCGACGAGTGGTCACTCCATTAAAATAAACAAGAAAATCTTCAAGTTTTGACGTAGTCCGACTTCCATATTGGTTTGTTTATAAGATGAATATATCACACAGTGGATGACGACGTGTCGTACAAAATTTATTGTGGTTCATAATCATTTCAATTTTCTGTTCATATTATTTATAAATCAGCAGTAACTAAGGGAATAGTTTTATTGGATATGACAATTTATCACAAAGAGTGAATGAATGCATCTACGCCATCACTGACTGAGAACGTTGAGTTTGAGCCATATCACCCACCAGTTGTCTGCAGCCATCATTGTATTTTATCGTCCCGGAGACCCTAGCCAACGTGGTTAGCTCAAACTAACTCATGAATTTCATTGATTGGTCTTATTTTTTGGTTTGACCATCACTAGCTGTTCTCCAACCTGATCCATTCTCTCTCAGTCAGCTAATGTTTATTTCCCGACGGATGGCTACTACTTTGAAATGGTGGTTGGGCTTGCGTATCGCAATGACTCAATAAGCCTCACTGTTTGGAATCAATGTTCCCGTAGGTCTTACTATGCCAGGAAGATTGTTAGGATAGCGATTAGACTAAAAGCAGTTACTGGTATAGTGTAGAAATTTTCTACACTATGCTGGGGGTCTGTGGACGGAGTCGTACTACTGGGGAACCGGGGATGGATGTCACAGTGTAACAACAGAAGACAAGGGCCAGGCAACAGATCGTTTATTAAGGAAATCAACACATATTTATAGATTTTCATGTACATTATTTTAGATTATTGTTAGCAGAAAAACACAGTCTTCTGATTGGTTGCTTCTCATTGAAAGTTAATTTTTCATCTCTTTTTGTGGCTGTTTCTTGAATGTCAGATCGTCTATATGCCGCCTACGCAAAGTCTGCTGTGGTTGGTTGTTGAATAAGTCTTCGTTCTTTTTTTTCGCATGACCCATATTGAGGACACAAACATTGACGTAAATTGCTGTCTACCAATTTGTCTAGCAGGCAGCTCTCACCACAACAGCAGTAAAGTGTTACCCTGAGATGACCAGCATGCCAGGTATGCTGTCTCTCCACTGTGGAGACAGGAGATTAGAAAAGGTCGATCCCAATAATTGTACATCCCGACTTACCCTACTGTGGTCCGTAATCGGCAGTAAGTTTACTGATACGGAACCAAACCAAGAAACCAGTTCATACAGGCCGTGTGTGTCACCAATCTCAAGCAGTTTTCCCCACTGGACTCTACTGCAGTCACGCAACACTAACCCTCTTTCTGTTTCATCATATACCCCCCCCAACAAAATATCGACTTCCACGATATGGGCTGCGCGCGCGCACACACACACACACACTTCCAAAAGCACACGAAGTCCTCTATTTTATGTTTTCATGTTGTTGTTGTTGTTTTCATCCCACAGGTTGACTAACTTGACGTCTTCTCCGCATGTGTACATACATTAATATTTTGACAAGGCTACCAAAACACTATCTACATTTTTTCATTTTGCATATTATTGAAATATGGTAAATCATACAGTGAATGAAACATGTACAAATTATTTTGAGCATGCCAGTGATGTGGAAGATAATATCAATACGTTAACATCAACGCATACAAATATTACAGAGAATAACAGATCACTTGTTCTATCGTCTACATCAGACACTCTGATGGCGCCTCCTTTACCTCCTCATCATCATCATTTTGGACATAGTAAATCCCTTTCATCCTCATCAATAACATCAACACCCGGGGGTGGTGGTTATGGTGTTGACACTATGAACGTGAAACGATGTCATGACACCACTAATACTGTAACACGATTTCGAATCGATTATAAAGAAGCTTCACAGGTGATCACATCAGCTATTGATGCACAAGTCAAATCTATCAGTGAAATGCTTTCATACTTTTCAAAATTAGTTAAAGCTGAAAAAACTGTACAACAAGCTCTATCTGACTTATTAAATGATCAGAAAGAAGCAACAGGAGATCCTAGTGGTGGAGGTCAACGTCAAAATGGTGGTGGTGGTGGCGGCGGCGGGAGTATGCGAAATTTTTTCCGTGGGAATTCACGTCGACGTGGACGTAATACACTATCAGGATGGAATAAAAATCTGGCCAATGGTACGACTGATGGAGAATTAAGTAAAGTAAGTCTTTGATAACAATTATGGTTTCTAATATTTTGAATTTCCCCGGTAACTACATTGAAGTGAAATGTCGGCGGCTTGTGTGCGGATGCTTCGAAAATGGCTGAGGATTAACTTGAGGTGGTTCTCATGGATTTGACGTTTGAAACTATGGGTATTGGGTTTGAGCCTCAGGGGGAACACCACTTAATCACTAGGGAATGCACGTATATCCACAGATGAAGAGTCCCACAGAGGACGAAAGGTGCATTCTGGATTCTACTGCTAGTTACACTATCCATCAAATTACTTCGACTTCAGACATCATTGAAGCATCCGCGGTACTAAGAGCAAACATTTCGGTCCAATCCATCGATGGGAAATTCCATATTAGTTTGTTTATTAGATATATCACACAGTCAGTGAAACAGTATTATTTACTGGATGACACAGTTTCGAACACAATTTATTGCTATTCATAATCATATCAATTGTAATCACACGACTTTGAAACTTGAGTTTTATAGTTTCCTTTGTTCTCTCCTATTCATCGTTGTATCTTTCTGATATTTGGGTGGACAGGTGTTGAATCATTCCTATTACACGTATTCCCTCTCAGTTGATTCGATAAACAAAGCTTCTGTTATCAATCTCTCCCTCCGCCCTGCTGTTACATTAGCTTTTAAAACTGTCATCCTATCCCATGATCCTGTGCTGTATGGTTGTGTGTATTACAGCTGAACTATTTTCCAGATTTCTTATCTTATTCGGATCATCTAATCTAGATTTTGGTAGGTTATTATGCTCCGCTAGTCTGACTGACTGCACGTGTTCTACTACTTTGACCTATGTATTTGACCTGACAATCATTCCGGCAGGGTATTAAATAAACTAGATTATTTTATTTTAAAGGATCCTTTAACCGACAAAGCTTCTTTCTAATTGAGTTTGTGGGGCGAGAGGGGGGGATTGAATGCCAGTCACTTTTATTCCTGCCTTGTTAAGAATTCTGCGTAAGGTGGTTTCCGAGGTTCCTTCTTTGTATGGAATTACTGCTGATGACTTAGATTCCTTATTGTTGGTGCCATCATTAATATTATTATTATTATCACTATTATTATTATTGTTCGAAACTGTGTCATCCAGTAAATAATACTGTTTCACTGTGTGTGTGATACATCTTATAAATAAACTAATATGGAATTACTTACTGTCTGTCTGTCTGTCTGTCTGTCTGGATTCAACATAGAACTTCGCACCGAAGTGCACCAGTTCGAGTTGCCACGTTCCAAATAGCACACAGAGGTAGACAAGAAGATGAGTGAAGAGAATCAATAGAGTTTGACAGGTATAAGAGTGAAACAGAATGGGTAATGGTAGAAAGGAATATGAAAGATTACAGAGACTGAATACATCTGCGCTGGCCATTGACAGCGATTTTAAGCCATGTCACCTATTGTCTCCAGCCATTGATTCCTAGAGTCCCGAGGGCCCCAACCCGGAAGTCTGCATCTCCCTACCTGACTCAGTTTAACTGTCAAGGATTTCATGGATTGATGCCATGCCATGTTTTTGTTTGGCCACCACTGGCTGTTTTCCAACCTGCACCTATATCAGCTAGCAATCCCCGTCGGGGGAGGCGATGGTTAGGCATCTCAATCTATGTAACTTTATAGCCTCATCGATTGGTTTTCCCTCTTTGCCCAACACTCTACGCCTAACGTCAACATTACTTTTTATACCTTATTATACCACCTAACGTGAGAAAGAAATCTCAGACATCTATGATCGAAAGCAGTCAATCTTTTCATGTCTTCAACTCATATTGGCCGTGTTTCAGAGCCATAGAGAAGGACGGAGCGAAGTGGTGAGCAGTACACACGTCCCTTGTTTGATAACCGGATGTCACGCCTACGCCAGAGATGGTGTAAGTCAACGAAAGCAGCTCGAGCTTTTTGGATCCTTTCTGAGATTTCATCGCCAATCAGTCCGTTGGTGCTAATACAACTTCCCAAATAGGTGAAGTGGTCAACATGTTCTATCACTTCACTCCCTATCACTAAGTTAGGAGTTGACGTAGTCCAGTCCAGTCCTGTAGCAACATCTTACATTTTGTAGGGGCGAATCGCATGCCAAACATACGAAGATTGCTGCTCAAGGTGTTCAGAGCTTGACGACCACAGTGCCCAATTTTTACACATACATCAATGGGAAAATCGAAGATGAATTAAAAAATATAAATCCTATTTTCGAGTATAGCAAAAATATTCACTCGGACATCTGTTAAAAACAAAATAATTGAGCTAGCAAAGAATATCTTTTTCGATAATTCCCTCCTCTTCTGGCTATATATATACGTGTGCGTCTATATACATTTTTGATTATGAAAAATGCGAAGGAAGCAAATAACATCCGGCCTGGACAAATTTAACGAGGTTCATCCTGCAATGAGTTTTACTATTGAGAAAGAAAAAGACTAGTATTTCATTTCTAGACTTCCTTATTATTATGTACTCGTCGCCAAATTATTGTTATGTGCTGGTCGAGAATTTAATAGTCCTGACGCAAGAAAGACTGAAATCAGAAGACCACTAGGTTTGCGATGATACTTCTATTTTCCAAACACAAGGAGAATCAATATATCCCACAAGAGTGTGAGAGCAAAAATATATATATGAATGCCCGAACAAGTGTGTGAGCGAATATTCAAAATGAACAAATCAATAGACAGTCTTAACATGATTGGCTAATTATAATGGAATATCGATCCATATATACATAGCAAATATACAGATTGTCAAACAAACACATATATTATATGGGTACATGTCACCAAGATCAGACTGTCAAACAAACACACATATTATATGGATATATATATCACTTATTACCAGAAAAGAGGATGGCACAATAAGAAGAGGTGTATATAGAAAACCTACATCAACTAACTGGTCAGTGTACTGGTTTTCTCAGCTTCGTGACCTTGAAATGCAAACGCAATCTGATAAAATGCTTTGTCTGGCACAGAGCAAGAGCAATTTGCTCGGATGAATGTCTTGATGATGAACTTGATAATATTAAATGGTTACTGAGTGAAAATGGTTATCCAGAAACGTTTATTGATAAGAATATGAATCTAACATCAAGGCAGCCCAAGGTACCAACAGTTCCTAAAAAGACTATATTCTTACAAATGCAGTTCCTTGGGGACAACATCAGCGAGATACGAACACAGCGCCTTAGAAATACGGTAAAAAGAGCATTCTCTGCTGCCGAATTACACTGTGTCTTCAGAACCACCCCAATTTTGCCTTCAGGTGTAAAAGATAATCTGCCTAATTTCGCCTCTTCCATGTGTATCTACCGTGGAGTGAGCCAGTTACATAGGCCGTACAATTGGGCGTGTTTATCGTCGAATTTCCGAACATCACCCTGAGTGGTTGGTTAAGTAAAGGACAAATAAAATCTATTCGTGGCGCTATTCCATCTCATCTTATGGGTAAAGAACGCAAGAATTCTGTCAGTGAGGCTTTCAAAGTCATTTACCGCATACCAACGAATCTCAATTTCGCGTTAAGATTTAGATTACTAAATATTGCTGAGGCTGGTCGATGGGATCCACATTAATGAGCCTAATTTGTGCGTCCGAAAGAAGCTAGTTCAGACATTGTCCCTATCTTAGCCATGCAGATTTGAATGATCCTAAACTTTAGTGAAATTTTCCTAATTTAAGTTGATATTCTATTTGCTATTATGTCGTTATTATTATTATTATTATAATTTAAGCATGTTTAATGAACTGTAATTCCATTGTGATCTTACTTAACAAATCGATATTATTTAAAAAACACACTAATATTGATATTGACTACTATTCGAGAATATTCTATGTATATAAACATATGCATATATAATTGTAGAGCCAGAAGAGGAGAAATTTATCGAAAAGGGGATATTCTTTGTTGGCTCAATTATTTTGTGTTTTATTTTCTAGTAGTTAAAACTTAAAATTTGTAAAAATATTGATCTCGTCGAATGTGTCACCAAGCGAATATGTCGTCTTTTTTTCGTACGATTTCCCTTTCAATTTCGATGTAGTTATAGTCCACGAATTACGTTATAGCGGGGGAAAGTTGAAGGATGCAACCTCTTTCATATATCTAGGCAGAATCGTTTCAGTAGCTTAAAAATCCCCATTGCGTCATATGAAAAAGTGAAGACGTTCAGCGAAGAGACTCTTTTCGACGATGAATTCATTCACATAGCTGTACAATCGCATTTATATATAATTATTTGTGTGTATGCGTGTGTGTACATGAGGTTTGTCAAGTTTAGATAATTGATCAGGTAATACAAAAATGATCCAATATAGAAACAAGGTGAATTAAACATGAACTAAAGTAAGATTGAGTTAGTAGGTTAGATGATGCAATGCGATTGACTAAAAATGTTCCAATTTAGGTCAGGATAACAAGAGAGATAATTACAGGTATAGACTAAGTAAAAGTGGGGTAGATAATAATGCCGATTTAATTAGGACTAAAATTGGGCAAATAAATTGGATGACGTAACATAAATGACTAGAAATTAAGCGTTGGTCAAGTCAGTAACAGTGTTAATGAGGTGTAGAAATTAAATCGGGCGGAGGTAAAGAACAAGAAGGTTGAAAATGTAAAATATTACAATTGAGAAGACGAAATAATACTAATGAAGAGACAGGAGAGAAAAAGATTAGGTGGAATTTACTTGTCGGGTATTAAGACAAATTACGTACATTGCAAATGTAGTGATTGAACGAACTTCTTCTGTATGCAGAGTTCAGGGCTTAGCAAGTGAATCTCCATTGCTTCTGCAGTTTGAATAAGTCTGATTTGTACACATTTAGGAAGACTACTTTGTATTCTGTAGACGACTTTGAAGTTTGTTTGGCGTGTAGCTTGGTGTCCCGATTCTATCAGATGTTCTAAGATGGAGCTGCGGGGACATCGTTTTTCTCCTTTGTAAAACCATATTGGTAAGTGTTAGGTGATACGTTTGGAAATCGAACGCTGGGTACGGCCGGCATACCTGGCTCCACATGAGCAGGTGAATTTGTAAATACACATTGATGAGGCCAGCAGTGGTAGCTTATCCTTCACGTTCATACGAATCAAAGGTTTCGTGGAGGTTAATCATAGTTCAGCTGCGAAGAAGGCTTTCTTAAGTGAAAGCGACAGTCGATTTTTCAGTGTTTCCACAGATAAATCTCCATTGAATTGAAGGTTCATGTAGAGGAGTTGTTTTCGAGACACTAAGCGTTAGCTGCGTCTGCAGTCTAGGATTCATGGATTTTGCAATAAATCGTTCTGGATAACAATTCTCGACGAGGATTCTCTTGATTTTGTCCAGTTCATCTTCTATGGTATCCGGGGTGCAAATTCTGAGAACTCTGTGGCTGAGTCAACGGATCGTTTTAATTACCGGCCGAGGCTTGCATGAAAATGTCATACGCAGGATTGGAAAGGCAATATAGACTGTAGTTAATCTGAAATCAGTTCGGAAATCGACTGCACTCCGCAGCATAAAGGACAAAATCAGGATTTTAAACATTTGATTTCAAGTAAGTTCTCTATAATTCCAGAGACTTAGCGCACGCGTTACCAAGAGCTTCAGACTGCCTTCATCTGTTCAGCTAGAATAGTTCAGCCACAAGGAACTTTCTGGTAACGAACTAATTAAGAACGCATCGCTCAACAAATATGTTAGAGGGAATGCAGATGAATTGGACACACACTAAGGAGACTACTGTTGAGTGAGATCACGCACCAGGCCTTCCGAGTGGAACCCGAATAAGCAAAAAATTAATAAGTTGTCCGAGGGTGCCATGATGGAGGTTGTTCTAGGAGTTGTGTGCTCTTATAGGCAATTGTGGAGTCAGTCAGCTAAAGAGGACTGCGGCGAATAAAATGAAATGGTGAAGCCCCTTTGCTCCACTCCTAACCCAAGGGAATAGTAATAATAATACCTTGTCCCCAATAATTCCTCCCTCTTCCCTAATCTAGTAGTAACCTAACCTCAATCTAAGCCTAACTCAGTATAATCTATGGCATTGCAGGATAAAGATAAACCCAAATCATTGTCAGAAGCTAAAATGGTCTCTAAATATTTTTTTTATTTCATTAAATTCCTTCAAGTTTTCAGTGGAACATAGGGCTTCCAGCTAGAGGCTTGAAGTTTCTGTAGCAGTGGTGTTTATTTTTACGGGATGGGGTTGCTATCTAGCCTCACCTGGCCTAACCTTTCCTCTTTACCGGCTTTATTACTACCTTAGCGAGGTGAAGGAGGAGTGCGTCGTTGGCCGGGAGTCGAATCCCGGACCATGTGCATGGTCGGTGGGCGTACTAACTGCTGTGCCACCGACGCACGGTCTCTAAATATGCAAAAGAATTATGTTGACGCTGTTGACATACCATTTAAGAAGTTGTTCTTGCATATTACCGTTCAGTGCTTTCAGGCTATGAAGTTCATTAATTGCTGAGTGACTTCAGCAGTCGAGCATTTCGGACAATACGTCCCAAGTTGCTACCGTCGAACTTAACACAATACCAACACAATTCTCAAGTGTGGGTTTGTTGGGATCTGATTAGTGACAGGACTGATGACGAATTGACGTCAGTTATAGAGAACCATTGGAGAACCAGCTGGTGGTAGTGGTGAACATCTACTTCGTTCTAGTTTGGTACTGTTCATCAGCACTTACCCCCACCCGCGCGGTTTAAACCCGGGACTTTCCTAATACAAGGTGGGCTTGTACACCATTCATCAGCCACTGGGACCCGATTCAATGGTCCATGAATACTGTCAATAAATCCCCTGACCGAAAGCTGCTACCTTGACCTGGTGGTCACCGGGCTTGCACAACCCAATGACCCAACAAGCTGCACAGGCTGGAACCAATGTTCCTGCAGGTCCTACCATGCCAGGAAGATTGTTAGGATAGCGATGAGACTAAAAGCAGTTACCGGCATAGTGTAGGAATTTTTTCGCACTATGCTTGGGGTCTGTGGGAAGAGCCATACTACTGGGGAACAGGGATGTAACAGCAGTAAGGTGTGTTTCTCTCAGATGACCGACCGACATGCCAGCCAGCTATGCTGTCTCTCCACTCTAGGGAGAGGGGGTTATAAAACCTTGACCCCGACTAACCGGAGGTAAGTTTACTATAATACGGAACAAATCCAAGAAGCCAGTTCATAGAGGCCGTGTGTGTGTTACCGGCCCCAAGCAGAGTTGTCCCCCGGACTCTACGGTCACGCAACACTAACCCTCTCTCTGTTTCAGGTACTTGAAGAATCAAACAGCTTACACGGTGTGGGCAGCCGGGAAGTAACAACCGTCCACACACTTCCAAGATCACACGAAGCCTTCCTGAGCCAATGAGTCCCAAACTAGGACGAAACAGCTGGCCACTACTACTCCAGTGATTGTCAATGGCTCTCTAGCAAATAGAATCCTGAAAAAATTAATTCTTGTAAATTTATTCACATTTATTTGTTTGTTTTTCTTCTCTTTGCATTTTTCTGTAATCAGCTTCTACACAATTTAGTTATATCAACAAATCATCAAGCCCGAATGTATTCAACACGTGCATTATTCCACAAACTGATTACAGCTGGTCAGTTGGATAGTTTGAATGCCTGTGAACAATGCCTGAAACGTACTTATATGGAGTGTGAAGAAGAATTAAAATCACAAGCTCGTCAGGTATGTGTTCAGTGACGTTTTCTTTTTTTAGCTTGTTCGCTTTCTCGTGTTGTTTTGTGAAGATTTGATTCGTATTTCAGTTAAGATTAAGAAACTGACTTCATTTAAGACACCATTAGATACCAGGGTGTTTCCTGCTTGCTCAGGATTCTCTAGCCAGTAGACACCCATGACTCCCTACTAAGGATATCGAATCCAGCACTTTCAGGTTACGAGGTGAGCGTGTTGTGACTATTCAACCACACTGGCACAGAATTCATAGGACCACTCCAGCATAAAATAGTATATCACATCACTTTCTCATGAATCGTGTGATTTATCTTGTGTTTCACCTTGATCTTTGTCGGATCGCCAACCGATCAGGATAGATATTTCCAGACAATAAAAATAATCCATTCTCACGACTGTGAGTCGACTGTATTGTGATAATGAAAATGTATAAATATAATGTTTTGTTTAATTGGCGGATGGTGACTGGCAGTAATAATCCTGGATAATGCTTTGGCGTTTGAAACTATGGGCACTGGGTTTGATCCTCGTTGGGGGAACATCATCACTAACTGACTGGTGAATGCAGGTACATCCCGGCTGGAGGACGAGTCCCAAATAGGTTGAAACGCTCATTGTCCTGGATTCCACTGCTATTCACTATCCACCAATTAAATTCTGGTGAAGTTGTTTTGTGCATTCCAGCGGGCAGTTTCGCCTGAGACTTAACACGGACAATCTTGTAAATTGTTAGTGTTTAAAAAAATGCTGACTATATGTGCCAGTGACACACCTGAGTAATAGCGTCCGGTTAATACTAAATTTTCACTGCCTACTTTTTCGATTGAGCTGATTTAATTTTTCATTGTTGGTTAGTAGAGATTTGGTTAGTTTCCACGTAGATAACCAGCATCAGTTAAGGAATCACTGAATAGGTGTTTCGTCTTGGTTTCACCACTAACTCATCAGGGATCGAACTGAAGACCTTCAAGTCACAAGATAAGTCTAAGGGTCGCTCAGCCATAGAGTTGGAAGCTAATAACTCTTGAATTCATGATTCGTGGCTGTGCATTATTCTGGGAGTTTCGAATAAGAATGAAACAGCTGTTCAATGGTCCCTAGTTTTCAGTCTGTCTGTCTGTTTTCAACATAGAACTTTACACGAATGTTCAGCAGTTCAAGTCACCACACTTCATCCATGTAGCACACAAACCAAGAGCAGAAAGTAGAAGAAATGCAAAATTGAGACAGTAGACAGGTATATGAGACAAAAGGAATAGTAATATTACTTACTTACTTTACTTCGGCTATCTCTTACGGGAGGATGAGCTTGCTTCATGAACCATGAAGTTTCATGGGAATTGGGTACGAGTGATGTCCCCAGAATCGCTCGGCCTTTTGTTTGAGAGTGCAGCCCTAGCCTTTACACAACCAAGTGCGACCTACAAGGCAGTAGGAGTGGAGTAGGGAGTCCACTATCCATTGTCAGCCGGTGACCGGAGTCCGGTTCATTCGCCTTTTTGAATGGGGCCAGTCATCCAGGGCATCCAATAAGCCCTTTGTCCATACGTCTGACGGTGAGCTTCATACACCAGTCGTTGGAGGTTTGGAATCAGGGTTTAGCCATCTCCCCTAGACTGTCATCCAATAGTGATATTGAAGAACAATATAGTTTCATTGGGAGTTATAAGTCACAAGGAGTGGATACATCTGCACCAGCTATTGAGGACGATTTTGAGCCAGCCATATCACCGATTGTCTCTATCCATTGGCTTTTACCGTCCCGAGGACTCCAACCAGGAAGTCAAGTAGTCCACACCTTCCTACGTGGCTGGCTTGCTGGCTTAAACTAACCGTTGTCGATTTCATTGATTCATGAGTCTATGTTTTGGTTTGACCACCAGTGGCCCTTTTCCAACCTGACCCTATGTCAGCAGCTAACATATTCCATTGTCGAGGAAGCCGATGGCTCGGTGTGCATGCGTAACACATGTCCTAACCATCTGTCTGTCTGTCTGTCTGTTTTCGACATAGAACTTTGCACAAATGTGCGGAAGTTCAAGTCGCCACATTCCGTGTAGCACGCGAAGCAAGAGAAGAAAGTACAAGAAAAGCATAATAGAAACAGTGAGCAGAGGTGTGAGACAAAGGAGTAATAAAGAAATATAAAACAGTTTCATTGAAGATCATAAGTCACAGGGAGTGGATGCATCTGCACTAGCCACTGAGAACGATTTTGAGCCATGTCACCAATTGTTTCCAACCATAGATTTTTACCGTCCCGAGGACCCCAGCCTGGAAGTCTACACCTTTATACGTGGCTTAGACCAATCGATGTATCTTCACAGCCTCGTCGATTGATTTCCCCTCCTTATCTAGCACTCGACCGGCTCCCAACCTCAATATTGCTCCATTATGGGTAAATTTTGTTTTGATAAAGTCTCACAGTGTTATACAGTAATGTTTACTGATGACGTTTCGAGCACAATTTATTGCTCATAATCATATCAAGGTAATCACACGACTTCCTAAATTCATTTATTAAACAATGGAACTATATAAATGAATTTAGGAAGTCGTGTGATTACCTTGATATGATTATGATTGGCAATAAATTGTGCTCGAAACGTCATCAGTAAACATTACTGTATAACACTGTGAGACTTTATCAAAACAAAATTTACCCATAATGGAATTACACTCTACCACAGTGCACAAGTTTTATTCTTATATTAATACTCAATATTGCTCACCTTATTATACCACTTCACACGGGATGTGGATAGAACGCAGACACCTATGATCAAAGACAGCTAGCTAGCCTTTTCATGTCTTCCACTTTCAGTGGACAGGTCTCACAGCCAGCCATAAAGGAGGACGGTGCGGACTGATGAGCAGTACACATGTGGTTTATTCGATATCACGTCTACTTAGCCAGAGACAATGTAAACTGGCATATGCGAAACCAGTCCTCTGTATCCCTGCTGAGATTTCGACAGCGATGAACCCGTTTGCGTTGGGGATAGCTGATGCAACTTCTCAAATAAGTGTAGTGGTCCCGACTTACTCTCTGTCTCTTGCAAACGTTATCTATTTTTCAAGACGTGTGAGGCGTGTGAGACTAACACAACCCTACCTCTTTCAAGAACAAAACACCACCCGCTGCTATGCAAGTCTTTAAATCTTGGAAGTTCGATATTCCACTCGAAAGGCGAGTAATGAAAGAAGCAAAAAAATAACACAACATGATATAAGATTTTATATACTCAGTAACAGGTTAACCGGTGTAAAACTCATTTTTAGAGAAAGAAAAGAGATGAGTATATATATATTGAAAAGTGTGTTTTGTATGGTATTGATTTCGCCAAAAGTTTTCAGTTGAAGCAATAAACAGTTTTGTCTTTATATAAGTGGTGTATATAAATATATAGATATTAATTAGTTTTATCCGATGAATGCAACACAGTAGTGCGTACTACTACACTTTGAAAGGTAATCAAATGTAGCGTATATAAATGTCGCTTTTATGAATATTTCAACTACTCTATGTATGTAAATATATTTCATTCAACTTTTCTACTGCGTCTTTACACGTCTTTTAACAGTACACATTGAGTTTAAAAGCTTATGAAAAGAAATATATGAAATATACTGGTCAATTGTCTAATTTACAATCGAAATTAACAAATTTATGCGATAAACGTGAGTAGTATTCACCCTTTTATTGATTTGTTTATTTAATTAATTAATTAATTTTTTATTTATTTTAATTACGTGTAGAGAGTTAACAGATATAGTCTTAAATACTAGGTAACCACTGTAAGTCAATGGAGTTGTGGCTTATTGTCCTGAAGTATTCACGTCTCTCCTATGTTCGAGTCCCACTCTGTCTACTTCACAGTCTGCGTGCTTATCAGTCAATTTAGTTTGTCTTATAGTTTGGTACAGGAAACATTTGATCTTGGTGTGACTTCACAACCCTGTCGATTGAGTGAACTATTGAGCGCAGTACACACGCCCTTTTGGTCGACAGCCAGCTGGATATCACGTTCGCTAAGCTACAGATGGTGTAATTTGGTAAATGCCGAACCAGTCTTCTGTATCCGTGGTGAGATTTCGTCGGCAATCTACCTGTTGGCGTTGGTTGATTCAACTTCGCATATAAGTGAAGTGATCAACACGTCCCACCAACCACTTCACTCCTGCTTATCTTTAAGTTAAGAGTCAATGTAGTCAAGTCAGTCGTGTAGCATCATCTTATATTTGACAAGGGGAGCAAATCGTCTACGAAACATTTGGAGACTGTTGCTGTTCAGGGTGTTCAGAAGACTCTGCTCTATTTTGTCAGCGTCTTCTCCTACTAATAAGGACAGCAGAGGCATTATTATTATTATTTCCTTTAATTCCTATAGGAACATAGGGCTTCAGTCGCGCGTCTCCATTGCGTTTGTTTTTCTGCAAGAGTTTTCACCCCGCTCCAAGTCAGCCCACGTGTTTTCATCTCCCCTTCACATGACCTCTTCCAAGTCACCTTCACATTGACGACTAACTCGCCCCTTTCCTTTCGGGTTCCACTCGATGGCTTGTCTAGTGATGTCACTTGGTGGTTTGTTTTCTCAGAGTTTAGCCAATCCACCTCCATTTCTTCCTGCATATTTGTGGCGCAATCGGTTCGCTCGTTTCCAGAGATCCCTGTTGCTGATCTTTTCTGGAAGGCCATCTGATCTTGAGTATTGAGCGAAGACAACTGTTAATGAAGGTCTGTGGTTTGTTTGAGATGCTCTTTATGACGCTCTGGCCAAGTCTCTGATCTGTGTAGTGTAGCACTGACTTCACATTGGAGTTGAAAATCCGGATCTTATTTTTGATTGTGCGTCGGTGGTATAGCGGTTAGCACGCTCGCCGACCATGCATATGGTCCGGGGTTCGATCCCCGGCCGGCGCACTCCTTCACCTCACTGAGCCAGAAATAATGCTGATAAAGAGGAAAGGTTGGGCATGAGGCTAGCAACCCCATCCTGTAAAAATTAAACACTGCTACAGAAATTTCAAGCCACTAGCTTGGAGCCCTATGTTCCACTGGGAACGTGAAGGAAAAATTATTATTTTATTATTTTATTTTTGATTCTGAATGCTGTTGACCTCCACACAGCCTTAAGAGTAATGAAAGCTTGTCTTGATTCTCCGATTCTTGCTTTAATATCCTCGTCAGTTCCGTCTGCCTGTTGTTGAAACGATGCTTCCCGAGTAGGTGGGTAGGTGAAGGAGGTTGTTTCTTTCAGGTTCCTCCCATTTATGCTGATTGTTGTCTGTTGTTGTTGCTGTCGCTGTTGATGTTGACCAGGAATCTTCATCACCTCTGTTTTATCTATGTTCACCTGAAGTGAATTCCTGTCTTTGATGCTTCTTCTGCCAGCTTGTTGCTTTTCACTTGCACATCTTCGAGTTTGTGGGAAATCAGGCATACATCATCATCATCATCATCATCGGCGAAGTCCAAATCCTCCAAGTTTTTTGTGTGGGTCTATTTTATGCCTGTTTCATCATTTCCCGCCGTTGTCTGTCGCATTATCCAATCTACAGCAGAGACATACTCATCCATATTTTCATGTCATATGTGATAACTTTTTTATTCCTTTTCACATCATTTCACTTTACTCCATTAATACTTCTTTATTATGTGTCAACCTTTTGTAATTTACACTAAGCAGCTTATTATGTTTCTAGTATTTCATTATAGTTCATAATTTAACCTCTTTTATTTTATCGCCACACTTGATGCATCTGTCAGCTCCTTGCCTTTGAACTTACAATCGATTCAGTGTGTTCCTCATTTTGTTATTGGTATTTGTTTCTATTGTATTTTGTGGTCATCAGTGATTTTCCTCGTACATAACTGAAATCATTGCTTTTAATAGTCCCAGGATCCTTCTAGTTAAATACCAACTGTTAGTGAATCCAATCATGATTTTATTTTGTTTGTCTTTTTACTCTTTCTCAAATTTAGTAGGGATTTTCAAATCAGCAGTTTGTTAACGCTTTATTTACCCGCGATAGTAGAAAATGCCATTAAAAGTTATATACTTTAATAGATGAAAACAAACTGAACAAGAGAAATTATATACAATCTAATAGTGATAGAGTTTTCTGGTAGTCCAGATTTCAAACATTTATTTATTATTATTATTATTATTTAAACGCAGAAAAAACTTGGTACAGTATAGCACCAAGAAAGATGCGCCACACAATAATAATAAAACAACACAGATCAAAAGTAAAAATTTAAGTGGAGAATGGATAAAGAACTTAATGTGGAAGGAAAACAGTCATACTTAAGAGGTTCAAACAGTATTCGTCAACTATCGTCGAGAAGGGAAGCTTCAGCACGTTCGCCATTGATTACGTTTTGGCCATATCCTATAACGTTTTGAGCTATATGGCGGACCCCAACCAGGGAGTCGTGGCGCACCAACCGATGCTAACCTAGCACAACTATCCTTCATCCCACGACGTTCCAGGGCTAGCGAACAGAGACCTGTACGGAAGCCTCTGGGATGACATTCGCAGTACATGTCCAAGCCATGGAAGCTGGTGTTTCCAGACTACGACACTCAATGAATAGTGATCTCTACTATTTTGAAACACACGCCACCGAACCTCAGAGTTACTCACGCGTTGATGCTATCGAAAGCAAGCAATCCTGCGGAGACATGGATGATCGAATACGTAGAGCTGCCGCACATCCCCAGCTTGGAGAGGCCAGGTTTTACAGGCGTAGAGTAAGACATCCCGACCCTTGACAGCTAGGCTAACTTCGCGATGGCGCCAGAGGTGGCTCAAGTTGATGTATACCACCCGAGCCTTCATTATACGGTTGGAAATCCCATCCGTCACCCCTCCGCCAGCACTCACACAACTACCCAGATACACAAACTTATCAACAACTTCAAGTGGTTCACCTATAGGAGTGAGTATAGGTACAGGCTCATGTCAATTTTGTAACAGTACTTTGCACTTAGACGGTGCAAAGCACATACCATACTTACAGACACTGATCGCCAACTGATTAAGTGCGATTTGGGCAGCCTGAATGCTATCGCACAGTAAGGCGATATCGTCTGCAAACTTGAGGTCGGAAAGTCTATTTCCAGGTAGCAGATCTACACCACCTTCACACACATCCTTCAGAGCTGACTCCCGAATGTTATCTATGGGAAAGTTAAAGAGAAATGGAGAGATCGGGGAACTCTGTCTAACCCCTCTGTTGGTTGGGAACAGTGAACATAGTTGGTTGTATGCCACCACTCTCTGAAACATACTACCGAGTATGTGTGTAAGAGAGCAGATACTTCTCGGTGATATTGACTGGCGGTTACTGCATATATTTCACGAACCAGTAGAAGCTATATTTCCTCCATTATGGATAAAATTTTATTTTGATAAATCACACAGTGTCATACAGTAATATTAACTGATAACACATTCTAATAGATATTTAGACTTTAATTCATCTCATCCGTTAACTGTCTTTGAAGGCAGGCTTAGTTGTTAAGTGTTTAACAAACAGAGCAGTAGCACTAAGTAGCACAAGAAAACGACCTAAATGATGAACTAAAGCAGATAGAAGAAGCGTTGGTATCAAATAACTATCTTATAAAATTCATTAGGATGGTCGGAAAAGGCCAAACGAAAAATAAAAATAATTGTGAAACTATTAATAAATAATAACATAAATAAGAGAGAATATGAGTCATCTACTGTTATACCATATAAGAAGTGGACATCTGAGACCCTACGTAGAATTCTTGATAAAGCAGGAATTAGAGTGGCATTCAAACCCTCCTACAAACTCACTCAGGGACAAGCTCTGTAGGTTAAAGGACTCAATTAAACAAAATAATATAATTTACAAAATACCTTGTAATAACTGTGAGTTAGGTCAACTACATAGGTCAAACTAGTAGGTCAGGGGTAGTCAGATTGTCGGAACATAAGAATTTAGCTGAGGTAGCTAATGGTTGACCCCGAGAAGATAAGTAATTTAGAAAAAAGTTCAGCAATGGCAATGCATGCATTAACACACAACCACACAATGGCATGGTGGGAGAGGGTTAAAATTCTAAAAAGTAATCTAGATAGGTGGAGATAGAGAGATGGTTGATTACTGAATCCTGGTTCATCGAATTATCTACACCCAACAGATGCCACAGAAATGACTCAATGCAAATACCAGGAATATGTATGGAAGATATTGTTACCACCAGTCAGCCAAATCAGAGGAGGATAATAAATGATCTTGAAATTCTATTTCAATTCACGCACATCATAACAGTCTAACAAGTTACTTATTATGACTATACCAAAAACACTCGTCGTATTTCCCATCTGATTGTAATTGATCGATAATACTTGAACTATTATTTCGGAATGTAAATTATCCCATATTGATTTTTATTCAAATATCTATTCAATTCCACTCATGTATATAAATGAAGGACAAAAGTTGTGTGAGTGAGTGAGTGAGTGACATGATGTGATTATGAGTGGCAATCATTTGTGCTCGTAACGTGGTCGCATCAGTTAATATTACTGTATAACACTACACTGTGTGACTTCATCAAAATAAAATCTTATGCAAAATGGAGTTATGCTCTACCACCATAGTGCCCAAGTTTTATACTTATATCAAGAAGTTATATTTC